CAGGTGGACTCAACCAGACTTCATGATCAGCAGTGTATATGGATGCCCCTGCTTTGGGGTATCAGTACCCAGCTCAGGATAATGCCTACCACAGCCTTCCAGAGCTCCACATCCTCCTGGCCAGGTATCAACATTCTTTCCTCGAATTAACCTGAGAAGACAATGGCCCTGAGCTCACAGAACAGCAAGTTACTTTTCTAGGCAAAACAGAAATATAAAAAAGTTTAAAAAGCTATGAAATGACATGGAGGAACCTTAAAAGGCTACATAACATATGTTTCCAACTATACGACATTCTGGAAAAGGCAAAACTATGGAGACAGTAAAAAGATCAGTGGTTGCCAGGGGTTAGGGCTAGTGGAGAGGGTTGAACAAGCAGAGCACAGAGGATTTTTAGGATTTCGAAATAGTCTGTATAATACTATAATGGTGGATACACATCATTACACATTTGTCCAAACCCATAGAATGTACAAATCAGGAGTGAACTCAAATGTAAACTGTGGACTTTGGATGATTATGATGTGTCAATGTAGGTTCATCAATTATAACAAATGTACCACCCTAGTGGGGGATGTTGGTAATAATGAGGCTATGTATGTGTGGGAGGTAGGAGGTGTAGAGGAAATCTCTGTACCTTCCACTTAATTTTGCTGTGAGCCTAAAACTGCTCTTAAAAAAATGAGTCTTTAAACAATGTAAAAATCAGAGACTTGAAAAGTCAAATCAAACATCATGGGGAAAAAAAAGCAAAATCATGAAAAAATGTGGTCAATCATTAGCAGAGAGGTTGAAAAGACACGCTCCAATTGCTTTAAAAATTCACAGAACCCAAGTCTCCTTAAAATAGTTTTGCGAAGCACATTGAGAATTCCATGCAGTAATATGAAACATAAGTCCCACTGCTGCCACTGAACATGCTTCAGCTGGCTAAACCAAAAGAGCTCAACATTAACCCATGGCTCTGCAAAACTCAACAGGAGAGTGCAATGGAGACAGTTGCAAAGCTGCCCCAGATGTGTACATTTTCTGCTCCATTTAAATGACTTGGATGAGAGGGAGTACATTTGGCCCACAGAAAGAGAGAGTCAGGGGAGGGGTGAGACAGGACAGTCAGCCTCATCACAGGCCTCCTTCCCTCAGATTTGTGTCCCCTCCTGTCCTTGCCCACACTGCTTCTAGAGCAAACTGTCTAAAATGCAAATATGACCACAAGCCTTCCAGGGTTCCCCAGAGCCAAACTGCTTTGCCATAAGTCTCAATTTTCTCAGCTCTACCACAGTGTTAATAATACCCACTTTCATGGTGTTAATAATACCCACTTCAAAGATTGAGTGTGAAATTGACTGAGATCACATATACACAGTGCCTGGCAAGCACGATTTATAGTAAGCTTTGGAGGAAAAGTAGATAACATAATTACCATCCCTGAAACCAGGTTTTATGAGGAGAGATAAAGCGAAGGAAGTGAAGATGTCTGCGCAGAAGACAAACAAGATCCTGAGGAGACAGGATCCCCAGTTTTCCCATATCTGAAGGAAGGTATGAGAGACTTGGTGAATCTAGTAAGGCAGCTACAAGGTGAAAGATTCTACCTCAGCAAAAGTAAGAAAGACCTTTCTAATAGTAGTGTCTAAAAGTTAAGGGGTGGCAGTAAACTTCCTGACGTTAGAACTGTATAAAACGTGTTTAGATAACCATTTGACAGGAATATTGAAGAGGGGATTCAACAATGATTTGGTGGAACTTGGCATTTTTAATTGCCTGTTTTAGTCTGAAATCTGTATTTTTGAAATATCTTCTCTTGCCAGTCAATGAATCATAAACATCTTGAGTTTCTGGTATGTGTAAAGCCCAGGGCTATGGCTTCCAGGTTGAGGATGAGGTACTCTGACTCAGTTTTTACCCGGGTGGAGGAGGCACAGGACAGCACATAGTAAGTTCTCCATGAGGCTTTGTCAGTAGACTGAATGTGTGAATCACACGGGAAGCAGAAACTGATGTCTTTCTATTGGTGTCCAGGGGTATCTATTTGAGCATCTTGTACCTGTCATTCCCACTTGAGAATCTATTCTGTGTGGACCTACAGTGCGAAATGCATTTGAGTCTATGATTACTCCATCATCATCCATGTCTATTGTCTGTTTTCTTTTCTTGTTTCTGGGTTCTTAGGAAATGGAACTGCCCCCTTATGAGAATGATTTACACTGACTTGGGAATTTGTTTGAACCTGAGGGTGCAGTGATATTTAATATGTTCATGAATGCATCTGTTTTACAAGGAGTAGAATCAGTGTTCTGCCTTTTGGTTACTGGGAATGGGAAAGACAGAGTTGGGATTCATCTCCAACTCTGAAAATGAGGAACAAGCTTTCAGAAAAGTTTGAGGTTTGTTATTCATGCCCTCTGTGTGTCTTTCTTTAATACGTTTGTCCTATAAACATTTACTCTCCAGCCCTGTGCTAGGTACCTGGGATGCTGAAGTTACTCAGCTTTTGTTTCCCCTCAAAGAGCTCTTATTCTAGTGAGGGGAAATAAAAAGGGCTGGGACAAAATACTGCAGTAGAGATGGCCTGTGTGAGTGAGGAGTGTGAGTGTTTGGGGAAGGCTTCACAAAGGAGATGACGTGTGAGCTGTTTTTTAGTAAAAATTGAGGTTACCATGCACTCAGGTAGGAAGAACTTCCCAGGATGAGAGCAGAGCATGCACAAAGGATTGGGACCTGCTAAAATGTGCTGTCTTGGCAAATGCCAAATAGTTTATGTAGCTGGCATACACTGTGTTGAGGAAGGTGGTAGGAAATTAGATTGATAATATATTTTTGGGTCACCACCCCTTTAGATGCAGAGAGGAGGCTGGCCCTGGTTCCACTTGAAATTATTTTGCAAATGTAACCTGGAACTTCATGGAGTTTCATTAAATATGGCCAACTCTGCATGATCCATCTTGTGAATTATCAAAGTTTTGATACACATTACTTCCCCTTGACCACCATAGGAATCTATTCTTAAAATAAAAACTTAAGATCAGTCCAAGGAAATCATAATCATGAAGGTAAATCTGCTGGAACAACTCAGTGGCTTCTCTTTTTTCTACAAGCATGTGGGGCAAGATAGGATCAGCTCTTGCATCAGGACAACTTGTGGTCATTTGTGGCTGGCACCACACATATACTAGTGGGTTGGTTTAAGGAACTTGATCTGATATAGACATTTGGATCTGCGAGCTATGTGTTGATGGGGTTTACCTGCATAATGTACTCCCTAGATCAGTGAAATAATTTGGGGGTTTGGGCTTATCTGCTTCATCACTGGTGCAGCTGACATGAAATGCGAGCAGAGTGCTTTGATTTTATGTTTAATGTTTTCTGATTATAAATTAATACTTCACTGTGGAAAAAATGAATACAAGGAAAAACAAAATCACCTCTACTACTAAGAAAGTAAGAGAATCACTAGTAACACTTTGGTGCACTTATTTTGTTTTTTCTTATGGGTAGAGTTCATTAAAATGAATTTTAAAAAATAACATTTAATTGAGTCCGCCACCTCCATTAAGCATTCCTCTATGAGAACACTTTTCTCATTGTAATGTCGTTACTTGCTTGTACTTTTTTAATACTCCCAGATGAGACTGTAAATGTTGGGAGGAAGGGGAAGGCATGTTATTGACATAGTAACCTAATCTTGGCACTGGAATCCAAAACTGAGATTCAGGTTCTGATGCACTAACACTGCAATGCCCAGGATTCCAGGTGTTTGTCTTTTCATCTCTACCGCCGGTGCCTAGCCCAGAATCTGGCATGTAGTATGTATCCAATGGATATTGGTTGCTTGAATAAAAGAATGAATGATTGGATGGATGGGTGGGTGAATGTGGATTTTTATTTATTATTATTCTTCACCCAAAATTCATTGAGCCCCTGGCCCCCAAGTGCCAGGTCTGGGCTAGGCAAAGGGGATATAAGTAGCTGTCTTTGATACAAAGTCCACCCTCTCAAAGGCATCCTGTGAGGATGCTGACACCCTCTGCTGTGGGATAGGGTTCCTATGAGTGCAGAGCTCAGTCAGCGCTCTTTGGCTGGTGCTCATAGCTCCTCTGGGTGGACTCAAGCCCCTCCAGGCTTTCTTCCACCTAGAGACAGAGCAAAGACTGCTAGTGCATGGAGTACCATTGCTGAACTCCTCAAAGTGCTCCAGAAGTGCCTGGTCCTGGACCTGCCTTCCCCAGGGCGCCCCTTCCCTCCCTGCTTCATGCCAACTTGTCCCAGTCCAGTGGCGGACATGTTGTGGAGAGGGTACCTCAGTGAAGCAAGATTGTAGGGAAAAAGGAGTCAACTGCTCCCTCAGATGAGAGCAGCCTTTGACAACCCCTCCAGCTGGCCCAACTGGAAATCCCAGATAAGCCCCAGTTCTGGTCAAAACTGGTTTGGCAGCTTTGGGAGAATGTTTCTGGCTGACTGACCCTCCCCACAGCGAGAGCAGGCAGTTTCCAGAAAAAAAAAAAAAAAAAAAAAAAAGCCGGGGCGGGGGTGGGGGGCGGCTAAATTTACAACACTCCGAACTTCTGCTCACTTGCAAGTACAAGTTTACACTTTGGGATTCCAACAAGACTGTCCCCACCCCCATCCTCACCCGGCATTCACTCTCTCACTCACTCTCCTCTCCTTTGCAATGCAGTTTTGTTGCAATGCAATTTGTTTAGCAGCGCGATTGTCGAAGCAAAATAATCCCGCCCGTCCCCAGCAGCGCGACTTTTAGTCCGTGCATTCGTTCTGCAATGCTATTGTTATTATTATTGCAATTGAATCTCTCAGCTCTTTCTCCTCCCAACTCGAATCGCGCTCCGGCTGTGATTGCTCGGGTCTGACTTTGCGAGTGGCGGTGCGCTTCCAAACCCCCCTCATCCACCCCTTGTCCCCCTTTCCCCCTCCCTCCCTATTCCGCGCCCAGGCGAGAGCAGCCGATTGGCAGAGCGGTGCTTTCAGGAACAATAACAGTGGGGGGAGCCAGGGTCCCGGGGAGCCGCCCCCCCCAGCTCCGCTGCTCCGCTCGCGCCCCCCGCCGGCTCCCCACCTCGGCGCCCGCCCCGCGAGCTGACCGGCCCGACCGGGGCCCGCCCCCGGCGCCCACCATGTACGCCTTTGTGCGGTTCCTGGAGGACAACGTCTGCTACGCGCTGCCGGTGTCGTGCGTGCGCGACTTCAGCCCCCGCTCGCGGCTGGATTTTGACAACCAGAAGGTGTACGCCGTGTACCGGGGCCCGGAGGAGCTGGGCGCCGGGCCGGAGAGCCCCCCGCGCGCCTCTCGCGACTGGGGCGCGCTGTTGCTCCACAAGGCCCAGATCCTGGCGCTGGCAGGTGAGCGAGCGGGCGGAGAGGGACAGTGGGACCGGGGCAGCGGGGCCGGGACCGGGAGGGGTTGGGCGCCGGGGCGGACGGGGCCAGGCGCGGAGGGGGCCAGGCGGGTAGCGGGAAGCCACTGCTTGCTCCTGCCTCCTCCTCCCGTTCCCTGGGCTTTTCATTTGGGGAAGGGGGTGTCTCTAAGAGGCCGGACCAGTTAAAAAGACCAGATGGTCTCCTTTGTCTTCCCCGCTTCCCCAACACTCCCGCGCTGTCAGTCTGTCTTCATCTCTTCATCAGTGTCTGTCCTATTTCTGATTCTTTGTGTTCTCCCTCCACCTTCACTTTCCCTTTCTTTCCCCGCCTGTTTGTACTGTCATTTTTCTGTCTCTCACCTTCTTCTCTCTCTTCCCGTTCCTTCCCTCTCTGCCTCTTTCTGTCTCCTTAAGTTTCTCCAGCTGTCTTCCTTTAAGGCCATTGGTACCTCCTTGGAGTGAGAACCAAGGCGGATATTGTCAGATCTTCTAGGTGCGAGTCCCTCCTCACAGAGGAAAGCTATGACATCCTTGTCCCATCTGGGCCATCATTGGACAGCATGAGGAGGCCTTGAACTTCAGTATACTGGGCACCACTCTCTCCTGCCCCTCCCTGGCCGGGTGGCAGAGGTAAGGAGGTAGAGACCCTAAGCCATCTCTCAGCCTCCACACCCCTTTCTGAATCTCCCAGAAGGCTCCTTGAGTGAGAGCTGGGGCCAAGAAAGGGTTTCTAGGTCAGGATAGGATGGGACCTCCCATCTCTCCTCTCCATTTGACAGTTGAGGTTAGTGAGGTTCTTCGGTTGGTGATAGGACAAGAAACCAGCCTTTCATCCTCCTACACTTCAGTTCTTTCTTCGATGCTGAAGCACCTTTTCCTTTGTAAAGAGAAGACAGCTCTCTTTCCCTGCTAGATCCAGGAGGCTTGGGTGCAGACATGCAGGAAAGAGGAAAGTATCACTTCTGTTTGGGGGAGCAGCCTTTTATCTGCTGCTGGTAAGGAGAATGTGCCTTAGAGTGGGCAGAGACAGTAAGTCACCCGGCCCTCCACCTGGAAGAGAACACCAAGGGTTAGGAACTGAATGAAGACACTGTTAGTATTTTGTAGTTTGGAGATCTTTCCTATTTTTTTCAAGTTCTTTTCTTCCTCACATTGAGCCCAAAAGATGAACCGAGCATTCTTTCAACCCATAGTGACTTGCCCAGGGTCCCATGGCAAGTTAGCAGTAGATTAGAGCTCAGCCTCATGACTCTGATTCCTTTCAACCACCTCATGTTGCCTCTGGAAAGTAGGTTTGCGGGAGCTGAGGGGTGGAGGAATTGGAAACTGACCAGCAGCACTGGGGCTCTTTTTGAGGGCTGCATCTTAACTACCTCCCTGGTAAGCCCTGGGGACAGGGGTGTAGGCCCACCCACCACCAGGCACCCGGGGCCAGAAAAACTGAGTAAGTTTTAGAAAAGGGAACCCTTTGTAGCCGATTAGGTTTTATTTTGTTTGTTTGCTTTTAATTACCTGGGAGAAGGAAATAGGAATTTATTCCCCAAGAGGATAGGATGTTATGACTAGGTTGTAACCTTAGCTTCCCTTTTTGCTAGAAGAAAGCATACTTCCTGATGATGTATCATACTTCCAGATCTGGAAGGATCCTAAGATAGTGGAGGAGAGGTACATCAGAGAGAGTCAGTGGTATGTATCTTAGTGTGTAATGGCTGTTTTCCTCACTTAGAGATTGTTCATTCATACATTCATCAATTCAGCAAACAAACACACTGAGCTTGACTCTTCAGGCACTGCAGAGAGGCTCACGGCAGCTCCCACCAACTCTGATTTTAAAATCTACACAAGTTGTCATATGTAAGACATATGTAGCTATTGGTCTGAGAACCATGAATTTTGAATCTGTATGGTATCCATCCTCTAAGTTAGAATGTTGATAAATCTCTTGGGTTATTAAAACAATAAATAATAAATTAAAAACCTAGGCAACATCTGGAAATTGGCAGAGTCAATTCAGAGAAGTGTCAGTTTGAATGAGTTGAAAAGCACTTCCTTTCACCTCTCTTCAATTTTTTTCTTGGGAGGAAAAAGGAAAAGAAGGACAACAACTTGAGGTTGGCTAGGCTACATTTTTAATTTCAATTATCTGGTTAATTTTTAAGTTGGAGCAGCTGCCCTGTCTGCAGACCTGATTGGAAGGGCCAGGGTGAGTTTGGGAATTCATTTATCCCAGAAGAACTCTCCTGTGTGTCTGGAAACCGCCTCTTGACTTAAACTTGGTGTCCCTGAGAATTGCTTTTGGTGACTTTATCTTAAAGAACTTATGTGGCATCTCCTGTATGTAAATACCACTGTGCTTCGCACCAAGTGTGAGGCGATGACCCCTCAAGAGGGAGGCAGAGGTGGCTTTATGTTTGTGGATTACCCATTAATTGATTAATCCCTCTCTGGCACCAATAGCATTTCAGGGTAGTTTCAGCACCACTTTATGGCATTTGGTGAGAATTGTGTTACTTTACTGAATATTTGCCCAGGCTGACCCAGACCCGTCTTGAATTGTACCTGTTCTTATATCCAGGAAGTGTCAAAGCCAACTGCTGTGGGACTTTCCATTTTACTGCCCATGGTGGCTTACACCATGGTTTCAGCATGTCAGACCCTAGCACCTAGTCCCCTTCTTACCAAATTACAATTCCAGTTCAAGGAAGAACAAAACCCCACCTTTACTGGCTGTCTTGCTACGTGCCTGTACTTTATCTCTGTTAGTCCTCAGTGACCCTTTGGTAAGTATTGCTTTGGTTAGTATTTCCATTGCATAGATGAGGACACTGAGGCTCAGAGACTTGCCTGCAGCTACACAGCTAATAAATGGCAAAGCCAGAATTGGAACACAGGTCTTCCAGTGCTGGGACCCCACTTGGCAGTCTCCTTGGTAAAGTAGCTGGTGTTCCCATCAGCCACACAGCATGGCTTGGAAGGAGTGAAAGGAAAAAGAAAAACTGTCCATGAAGCTTACAGCTCAAGGAAAGTTTTCAAGCCAGAGGGCAATTTTAGTTTCTGAGTTTTCAAGCCCGTTGTGCTCTTCCTCTTCCTCCATTACCAGGCTCCCTCCTACAGGACACACACCTGTCCCCCTCCCTGCCCAGCCCTTCAGTTGTCATTGTCTTGAGGAAATCTTCCCAAAGGAGCACCTGTCTTTCATGGATGGTCCACATAACTCAAGGCTTGATTCACCTTTGAACTGTGGTCTCTCCCTACTCATTTATTTGCCAAGCAGGTTGTGAAAGTGAGAACTACTCATTTGGAGAGCTCACCATTGTCTAACTGCCATCCAGCCTGCTACTGGGGCTCCTCTATTGAATTTTGTGTTCTTTAGGGGGCCCAAACTGGTTTCTCTAGGCTCAGAGTCCTAAAATTCTAAGTTGTTCTATCCAGGCACCTGTGCTCCGTTGCTGCTGTTTGGGTTTGATAAATTCCTGTGTTGTCAGGTGTCCCCTTACTGCTTCCTTACGCCAGGCCCAGTGCTGTAATAAGCAAAGACAACAGTGCACCAGCACATCCCAGGGACTGTGATTGAAACGACAGCATGAGCCAGGGGAGGCAGGCTTTAACTTTTCTGGCCCTGCTATGTAGGCTTTCTGTGGGAGGCAGAGTGGTGAAGAAGGAATGGGTACCATCCTCAGGAAGTGTGGAGTTGGGGGGCCTCAATGTAAGTGCTAAATAGAGGAAGAAGCCAGGCACTGGGGAAGCACAGAGAAGGGACCAGTTCTAGGAGGGTTTGACATTTATCTTTTTAAGTTTTTCCTTTCCAGCTCTACTACCACTGCCTGCATTCAGGCCTGCATCAGCTCTCACTCATCTAAAGCAGTGCAGCAACCTTCTAATTGACCACCCTGCCTCTGATCTATTTTCCAAATTGCTTGCAGAATAATCTTCTAAAACACAGTCTTAGTCAATCGACTGCTTTCCTTAGAACCCCCTGTAACTCCCCATTGCCTACTGAATAAAGCTTTAGTTTCCTGGCCTGGCATTCATGGCCCTCCTCAGATTGGCCCCAGCCCAGCCCCACCTTACTTCCGCAGCCTCATAGCCTCTTCCCCCTTCCCTGAGACCTGGGGGATTTCTTGCTATTCTGTGAACACACCCTCTTGCACTCCATTGAGTTAGCTGGGGTGGATTAATCCTTGTCTGATGTGGGGCCTCTGCCCACAAGAAGCTCACCTTCTGGTGGGGAAGGCAGACATATGGCTGATGTTTGCAGTCTAGCCTGTTGAGGGCTGTGATGGAGGAGTGGACAACGTACTTTGGGAGCACCCTGCCTCAGGGGCATTCCCTGTTCCTCCCTATGTCCCCAAGTGAGACTCTCTCCTGCCTCAGAACTCTCTTTTCACTTTGCTTGTTCCTTGCTTATGGATCTTAGCATTTTATGTCTCGTTTTGGTTAGTTGTGAATGGGCCTCTCTTCCTGCCAGATCTTGAACTCCACAACAGGGGCCTGCCTTCTTTGTCTCTGTATCCACAGCGCACAGCACATGGTTCACGCCGATCAGCCCATGTCGACATCATGAACTTTGGGAAGACAGTACATTTTATATGCTTGGGGAGAGGTACATAGGTGGGATAGAAACATCTATAGCAACAACTTGTTTTTCAAAACAGAAACCTACATTGGGATTTTAAGGTTTCATTCAGTTTTGTTCATTTGGAAAAAGTCAACATTCTTTATCGCTTCTTTGACTAGAAGAAACCCCACAGTTGGGGAAATAGCTTCCAAAGCCACGTTCTTCTTGCTTTGGTAATTTTAGCTCATTCAGGGCTCAGGTCCCAGCTTGGCATTGTCAGTCCAAATAGATCACTTGCTCCAGAAATGCTTTGGAACTTCTACAAAGTTAGCAGTGAAGCAGGGGACTAGTCAATTTCATATGTAAAGATCGTTACATGTCATCAGTGGGAAACTGCCAACAAGAGGATTTTTTTTTTTTTAAGT